TATAATGCTCACTGTTGAGATGGAGTTTTCAACAAGACTGCTTGTAGGTTCATCGTCATGATGTATTGCATCATAATTATGTCCATCCTGGAGACCTTTGCCATATACCAATTTGTATGTGCTGGGATGGCAGACCATGGAGAATCCTCACTGATTGGGAATTAACTGCTGGGACTAGAACAAGGGGTGTCAGTTGGTAGGAAGTGGGGTGCCCTTAATCCTGTGGCCTGAGTCTGTACAGTTGAATTGAGGTGAGAAAATGCTGTGCCTTCCTCCTGCAACTGTCAAGTAGAGCATGCACAATTATACTGTGCCCTTCTCCTCCTTTGGCCATGTCTGTTCAGTTGAGTTGAAATGAGCACACACTAACAACAGTGCCATCCTCTTGCAGCTAGTGTTGGTCCAATAAAGTTTGGTGATATAGTTGAGAGGAGCACAAGATACAGTCTGAACATGCCCCAACCACTTTACACATATTAGCTCTCTAACCTCTTGTGGGCAGTTATTTGTACAGACATGTTTTTATTCTACCCATCCCTGCAATACATGGGGCTTGTGTGCCTCTTCCTCTATTCTTTTTTCTAGACGAAGAGTATAACCTGGAAGAGATGAGATGTGGTCTCCCATGGGCATGCCCTTAGGGGGCCACATGTAGTGGGTGTCCTTCAGGTGCTTTCTGAAGAAAACTCAACTAGGTAAATTTTTGCACTGGCCTCTTCACTACTTTAACATGAGATTCTAGCTGAACTGTGTGAAAAATGTATTTCCCATATATATATATATATATATACCTCTTCACACACATTCCCACCCATCCTCCTCACTCATGGCTACTGTCGCCTTCTGTGTCAGTATCAATGACGATTTATGAGTGCAGATATGTAGAGGGAGTTAGTGCACAATGAAGTTCATTGCCCTCTTACTAGTGGGGGGGGGAGGGTTTGCTGCATAATAATATCATTATACAATAGCACAATTAAATAGAAATCTTTTGAAATGAGGTGGGATTTGCCTAAAGGCTAGTGGTATGCAAATCCTTAAGACAGATGCACAGGAAAGATACTTAACTGAGATATCTATTGGAAATAGATTTTCAGCTAAGGAAAATGTTAATTTCCTGTTTTTTACATTAGTGTACATGTACTAGTTTGTCAAAAACATGGATAAGTGGGTATTACATATTGGCATAAGATGAATGATAGTGCAGGAATAAAACAGAAGAAATTGTTAAATGATGATGACAATGAAGAATAACAAACTGATAGCTCTGTAGTTGGACCAAGCACTTCCTCAGTTTCCATTTCTTCTACTTTTGTTGGTGAACTGAAAACCAAACCAAAAACTAAATAATGTAAGTATGAAGAGGATTATTTAAAATTGGTTTCACTTACATTGTTGCTAATAACAAGGAATAGCTATAGTGAATTTTTTGTTCAAATTTTGGTGCCAAATAATCTTGCAAGGCATTTGGAAACCAAACTTCTTGAGCATGTGGGTAAAACCATCAAGTAATAAAAAAAAACTGAATAGTAAGTCACTGTTCCATCAAAAGCCTTGAAAGCTTCTTTAGAAGCATCTTATTTGATTGGAACAGCATACAACATAGGGGAGACGCTAGTTCATCCTGCTGCCATAAAACAATAAGATCATGTATAGAGTCGGGCTCTCAATTCTATCCCATTATCATGTGACATTGTTGTGAGGCTTACAGATGCAATCTCTGCTGACAAAAATTAAATTGATAATATGCATCCAGATCAGTCCCAAAATTCATTGTGCAACTCGATGAAACCACAAATATTGCAAATTTAGCTCAGTTTCTGTTACTTGTAAGATATTGATATGAATGGGAAATGCATGAAGAGTTTCAGTTTTGGTAGGGAGAACTACAGGGGAAGCCATCTTCAATCTTGTTGATTATTTTTCCACAGGCAGTCTATCTTAGAATAATTGTGTTGGGGTATTCACTGAAAGGGCAGCTGCACATGTGGGAAAAAGAAAAAATTCAGAAACAAAGTATGTGTTCTTGCCCAACAAAGTATGTGTTCTTGCCCAACAAAGTATGTGTTCTTGCCCCACAAAGTATGTGTTCTTACCCAACAAAGTATGTGTTCTTGCCCAACAAAGTATGTGTTCTTGCCCAACAAAGTATGTGTTCTTGCCCAACAAAGTATGTGTTCTTGCCCAACAAAGTATGTGTTCTTGCCCACAAAGTATGTGTTCTTGCCCAACAAAGTATGTGTTCTTGCCCAACAAAGTATGTGTTCTTGCCCAACAAAGTATGTGTTCTTGCCCAACAAAGCATTAGTTCCAAAGAAAATGAAGCCAGAAGCAAACAAAGTGCTGGAAAATACTGTGATTGTTGTGAATTTTGTGAAAAAAGGAGCTTTGAATTGCAGGCTGTTTTCCATTATTCGTTGAGAAATGGGATCCATGTATGATGTGTTCCTGCTGCATACAGATGTGCACTGGTTGTCTTGTGAGAAGATGCTCAGTCGCATTGTGCAGCTGAAAGATGAACTATGTGTTGTTGTTGTTGTTTAGACAGCAACTCCACACTAACAGTGCATTTTATGAATGAAAAGTGGTTTCTAGTACTGCAACCTGGCTGATTGTTTCAAGAAACTACTGAACTTAGCTTGTCACTGCATGGTCAGAATAGTAATAATAGAAAAGTGTTTGTATTTTGCAAGAAACTTGTGCTGTTGAAAAATCAGTTTAAGAATGTATACTATGAAATGTTTCCTTGCCTCAATGAATTCTTAGAAGAAAATGAGTTAAATAATTGTCTTATTTATGACAGTGTTTCTATTCATCTAAAAAACTTCAGTATCAATTTGCACATTAACTCCAAGAATCAATAAAAGAACAGGATTAGATCTGGAATTCATTTATTGGCAACATAACTTAAAGGAAAGCTTAAAGAACTATTGAGTTATAAAATCCTTCAGATAAAATTCAAGTCAAAACTAATTTTGGAGTTTCTAGATGCTAATTTGCAAAGAATACTCTGACCTGTCATGAAAAGTGATGAGAGCTTTTTTCCTTTCACATTGGCATATCTGTGTGAGTCAATATTTTTTTGTTCTGACAGCAATCCAAACAATATTGCAATCTCATCTGCAAGTAGAGGAGAATCTTCAAGTTGCTGTGTCAACAATTCAGCCAAGAATGGACTTCATCTTATTCCAAGCTGAATGAAGCCCATCCTTCATAAAAAATTGATGAAAAAACTAGAACTTTTTGCCTTATGATTTGTACCATTTTAAGGCTTGTTTTATATTTATATGATGTGCAGGGGTGGGCTTAACTTAAGTATCTTTCACTATTTAGAAGACTGTTTTCTATGTTGGTAATGATTAACTTCCTTTGCAGTCTATACATTTGCTAAAGTATCTTTCAATGTTTGAAATGATTAACTTCCTTTGCAGTCTATACATTTGCTAAAGTATCTTTCACTATTTAGAAGACTGTTTTCTATGTTTGTAATGATTAACTTCCTTTGCAGTCTATACATTTGCTAAAGTATCTTTCACTATTTAGAAGACTGTTTTCTATGTTTGTAATGATTAACTTCCTTTGCAGTCTATACATTTGATAAAGTATCTTTCACTATTTAGAAGACTGTTTTCTATGTTTGTAATGATTAACTTCCTTTGCAGTCTATACAGTATCTGTAATTTGTCACATTTCAGTTTAACATTTTTATGGAAATTGTTGAGATTGTCACATTTATACATATTTATTAAATTTTTGAGTTTTGGTAAAGTCTTCATGTTGGGTATGAGCATGCTATTAAAATTTTATTTGAAATTACATTATTTTTGAAAATGTGTCTAAATAAAAGATTGTATCATGCAATGTCTGTAAAATGGTTTATTATTTGTTATGTTGCTTCTGGTGAATGAAATATACCAGGAGGAAGGTCCATCAAATATATAACCAATAGCAAAAGCATTTGTTAACACCAAAGCTCATCAAATTTAATGTTTTCAGTGTTGAATGGTTTGAATTTGCTTGGGATCTTTGAAAATTATTACATAATGTTGCTTATGTCATTAAAAGTCATGTTTCATATCAGTTCATGAAAATATTACTGGGGCCAAGTTGATTATATTTATATATTATGTAATTCATAGGTGTTTTCTTTAAATTGTCTTATTGAGTTAAGCATGTAATTTTTGTGAAAACTGAAAATATTAACATGAATTGTAAAAAATATGTCTGTACTGATATTGCTGCTAATGTTGCAGTATGCTTGGAAATTATTCCTTGCTGGCAATTATGTTCATTGCACAGGAAAAATATAAATCTTATTGCATTAAGTCTTCTTTTCATTTGTTAGGATATTGTGTATAATAATTCATAAAAATATTGTAAAACATTTCATGAAAATCTTGCTTTTGCTTAGCAGTAATCATACCTGTCAATAATAGTATGAGGGTAAAATTTGCTCTTACATGTAATTAATGGAGACCACTAGTAATATGTTAGTTTATTTAGATAATGATACATGAAGTAAAAGCTTTTTCACTTGTATCTCCATTTTAAACTTCAAAGTTTAAAAATAGTGTTTTTTTTAGAGATATTGTAGTTCTTAGGTTGTGAACAATTTGATTATGAATCACAAAATAATGAATACAATGAAACACACATTCCTTTTGCTTATCTTGTAAATAGTCAAATTTGGGTGTTCATTTAAGACATTAGATTAATTTATTTATAAAGCATAATGTTTAACAGGACAATAACTGAAGAAAATGATTATCACCGGACCAACCAATGTGTTAGAACTTTTTACTATAGATCTAATCATTCTTGATGAAAGGCTGTTAGTACAAAGGAAAGAGAACTTAAAATGCAATATTTCCTTCATTTGTATATAAAAACTAATTAGAAAGAGAATTATATAATATCTAGCTTGTAAGCAAATATCAATATTTGCATGTTCAACATACTAAATGAAACTGTTGTTCTTTGGATTTTATTTTTATTTCTAGGCCAGATGGAAAAAAACTGAGATCCAGAAAAGAACTTTGTTCATATTTATCTAAGTATAATGTTCATATTGATGTAGAAAAACTATTTACACTTTGTGGAAAAACTACAAAAACGTTTGTAAAGTCTGCTATTAAATGTGGAAGTATTTTTCAAAAGCATAGTTCCCCCTTCAAGAAAATGACCAGAAGTTGTGGTGCAGATAGTGCACAGAAGGATACATCAGAATTCCAAGTGAAACTGACTTCAATTAAAAAGCAACTCCAATCAACTTGTGCCCAACAGGAGTCAACAGAAGATTATTCTAAACCAGACCCATCAATATTAGGACAAACAGAAAAGAACTCAGTTTCTAATGTTTCTAATCAGAAAAAAAGAGCAGTACCTTTATCAAAATATGGATCAACTGTACAAAAATCCAAAAAGCTTAAAAAAGAGAACTCAAAACTCAAACCAAAAAAGACAGAAGGTAAAAAGTTTTTTTGAAACCTTAAGTTAATATATATATGATATGCAACCATATATTATTTACATTTGCTATTCACCTTTGAGGCCCCAACTGCGTCTCTTTCTTTATGTTATAGATTCCAATAATGTATCTATAGGCTTCAAATACAATATTTTAAAGACAAAAGACTACCAGAATCTTATATTTAACTATCTAATCAGGATATAATACCATTCAGGTTGGACAGTTGTAAAGCGACAATATTTAATCAGGACAACTGTCCAACCTGTACCAGAATCTTATATTTAACTTGCTAATCAGGACAACTGTTCAACCTGAATGGTATTATATAAATATCGCACTGATAAGTTTAAAAATTGATGTTATACTTAGAAAAGTAATGTAACTCTAAGTAAGATTGAAATATGATGAACAGTTATCAACTTATTAACAGGTTATGGTTGAGATGCTTTAAGCTTTTAAGTTTTTTATTTAGCAGTGACAAGTCTTGATATTGGCACGTAACACAAATTATTATAAAACTCAAGTGCTCCATTATAGGTACAGAATGTAGCACTTGCTCAAATCATTTAGAATGACTTGCATGATACATTTTAAGGGTGACATGGGTGACAGTTGAAATAACTGTTAATTTTACTCATTCATAACTAATTTAGAATATGCCTGTAATAACATATATTCAGGTAGTTTTCTGCAGAAGTTCTGCATATAATGAATGAAATTCTTGTGAACCAGATCTCAAAAGGTTTTAAACATTTGCTAATCCTTTAACTAAAGTAAAAGTAACATACTTTTATCCTAAACAAGCTGGTACCAGTTTGACTTTGTGTCTGTGTCTACTTGATGTGGTAGTGCAAGCTCACCTTAAAAGGTGAAAGAGATGCTTGTATAAATTGGTATAATTGGGTTATTTTTTTCTCTTGGCGTAGTTGTTCATGTAAGTAATCTGAGGATAATGCACAAAGGAATGTGGTCTGATTTGAAAGTGTAATATTACATGATTCTTTCTTAGATCCTTATCCTGTGTGGACATTTTTGAAAACCTTGTTTTCAGTTTCAACATCCAGTAGGAGTTACAAAAGTAGAAGCTGGCCAGTTTGTAACCAATACCTTGTAAATAAATATTTTCTTTTTTTCGCTTGTGTATTGTATTTCCTATACTTTCCATGTTTAAACTATTAATCTGAATAAAATTCTTGGAAGGTTCTGTATTGTGGATACTTGTAACTACTTCTCAGATATTATTGTACTCGCATATCATATTCTAGTTATCAAATATATTTTGATGGCATGATCAAAGGATTGTTTTATTGCATAGATTATTTTCAGTGTGCTTCTTTTTCTATTCCACTCTGGCACAGTAGCATTTATAAATCATGAACATTTGAGGGCTCTTTTTGAGGCCATGTAAAGGAGGAACTACAGACGAGGTGAGATCTTGGTTTGAGAATGCAGCAAGGACTAGGAGAGGCATTATATCTTAGACTAAACACTTTCACCAGCCATGTGAGAACTATAACTACATTTTTGTTTCATCCTCATGATGAAGAGATTGATAAGTGATTAGGAAAAACCCCATGTTACTGTTAAATGACCTTTATTCATTATATACACCTGGAAAAAAGTTAAGCACCCCCAAATATTTTTCAGGATTGCTTATTGAAAATAAGG